ATACAAACACAAGCAGGAAAGCAGAAAAAGTTTAGGAGAAAACAAACGATTAAAACAGGAAGAGGTGCTCGAGGTATAAAACATAAATCAACTGCACGTTCGACACAGTTTTACATGCTTTGGCGTCAGTGCTGTTATTTCGATTCTCTAGATAATTGGAGAGCAAAGCTTTAAAAACAAAGATGTTTGACGCTGTTGTGAAAATTTAGTACAATGTTTGTGAAATTTGGCAGAAATAATCAGAAGATTGATGATATATCTTTTTTGGATTCATTTGTCGGTGTGTGAGAGGCCAGAGAGAATATGCTGAAACTTCAGTTCACACGAGGGATCAAATTTGGTGTTTATAAAATTATTTAGATCAATCCAAAGCACATGTGTATATGTGCGTTCCCAAAATACATCACATGTTGTTTCCTCTGCTGCAAAACGTACAAAGAGGATCAATATTTTTCTTACATTTAACCTGATGTGTCTTTAATAACATCTCTGGATCAACTTTAGAGTAGCTTCTCCGACCTTATCAGTGATAATAAAAGTGTTTTCAGTCTATGTCATTGTAAATATTGTCCCAGTAAAGTACAGCTGCAGGTTTGGAAACAATATCTCTTTGAATGATTTGTCTAACACATTGATTTGTGGCTTTATCGCTCAGTAAAGGACAGATGGTACCGATGTATATGCAGGATTTAGTTCTGTAATAATACAGTTTCTACCTTCAGGAGCAACGCCAACAACCTCCCACCTGGTATCACATCAGAAACTACAGCATATTCTTGTGTTGACAGGAAAATCATAAACTGACAAAAAGTCCTTATAAGAAAATAACCGTTAGCGTTCAGTAACTGACTCACAGGAAAAATATTTCTATCAACCGTTTCTGAATATATAATGATTTGTTCTTAAATGTAACGTCCTGATTGTTCCAAACGAGATATTTATGGGAGAAAAGTTGTGAGAGTCTGATTAACCAAGATGAGAAGAGTTGACTATGAGAGTTTAAATTAGAGATATTGTAATTGCATCTTAGCAGAAAGTGCATTCACTCCTCCGAGTTAAAGAAATGTTTGGTAATAAAAATCCAAATTGAACTGAGGAGTTTGATCCATTTGATTTTAAAATCATTTAGGGAAGTGAAATCTAAAGAATTTAGGCTCCAGAACACAAATTGTTTATCATTACATTTTTTAATAATATTTTATCAGTTTTTCTGCATATTTCTCTGGAAACATGAAGCCACAGCTGCATAAATAAGTCTGGAGAGGCTTCAGCTACCAAGGATCTCCCAGTGATGGACGAACGTCTGCGTGGACCCGGGTGCCGACACTCTGAAAACTTAACTGATGATGATTATTAATGCAGACAGAACAAAATAAAAGGGCAAAAACAAAGCAAACTAAGCAACAACCTGAACTGGGTAAACTAGAGAGGAAGCACGAACTATGGAAAACCTGGCAAACAGAGAAACAAACAAACTCTAAACATGGCGATGATGATGATGATGATGATGATGAGCATATATGAAAACCTGGACGTGGGAACAACGCAGACGATCCGACAAAGACTGAATGAGCACAGACTAAACACACACAGGAGGAAGTGGGAACACGTGGAACAGCTGACACACATGAACATAACGACGTCACAGAGTAAAACTGAACACGATGAACGCAGGAACACCAGACCTCTTCAAAATAAAACAGGAAACGTAAGACGCAGACATGAAACACATGAAGGGCAAAGGAGACTTAACATGGGAGGGAGACACAAGAGGATCTAATAACAAACTAGAACAACCTAAAAACGAACTTAGAGAACCTGAAGGGCTTAAACGTAAAGTAAAACTCAAAACGCGGTCAAAAGAGGATCCTGACACTTTGAAGCCAAAGATTAAATCTTTGTTGTATTGCAGTTATGAGAGTTTTCAGTTAATCTGTCTTTTTGAATGATAATACCAAGATTTTTAACCTTATTGTTAACAGGAACACCTGATATAACAGGATCTGAGGCAGACGTTCACATGTTGGAAAGTTCAGCTTCAGTGAAGCTACGGAGCAATTACTGAAACTTTGAGCTTCATCAACTTGATATTTATCCTTTAAACCAGGGGTGTCCAAACTCCGGCCCGTCCATTTTTGATTGGCCCGCAAGTAACTTTATAAATAGAATAGAATATGGCCCGCACTTCAACTTTTGCTTGAGTGTATTGCACTTCTTAGTTTTAACACCAGGGGGAGCTACTGTTGATCAAGGCAGTTGCTCCACCAAAAAGGACAATCACAGA